TTGATTCTTCTCCCCACCAGGCAGAAAAACAGCCTTACTGCCATCTGGATAGCTAGCAAATACAGCTGAAACGTGTGCCATATGTGCACAGCTGTATAGTGTACGTATGCCGCTGCCCAGCATGCTGCATGCCAGTTGCTTGACTTAGGGTGGGCTGGGAAGTAGGATTCAGGAACAGGATGGAAAGAGAGAACATATTGCAGAGAAGCAGCATTTTTCTTCTCATTTCACTGAATTGGGCCCCATGCGGCTTAGTAGCTATGGGCCCAATCCTGAAGCCTCTGCTTACGTGAGCACTTTAGCTGAGGCTGCTGCAGTGTCTTATATGAGATAGGGCTGCGGGATCAGGCCCTGTAGCCCCAAACGATTACTTCATAGTCGAATGGACTGAAACTCTGGTGAGCAAAGTCTATTTAAATCCATTTCCCCACAAGCACAATCTGAACGTATAGCTCTGTTGCACTTGCTTTCCAGCCCTCATCTCCCAGTTGCTGGTGTACAACATGACACCTCTGCTTTGATTTCAGAGCTCCTGTTCCCTTCCCAAAGAAGGAGCGTAGGGCTGGGAAACAGAATCAGCAATGGTGACTCTCTTCTGCGCCACTTGCCGCCCAGCCTATGGCAAGGTATCGGTTTCAATGCTTCAGGGAAAGAATCCCAGCTGCTTAAGAGATCGCTGTGTGATGACAAGGAAGGAATGGAGGAATAACTTAACAAATAAACTGAGGTCTGTGTGTAACCTTCTCCTAGTGGGCAGAGTATGGGGATTACCTCCTGTCCAGCATGCCGGGGGCAGGCATTAAGGCTTCACTTAGTTGAGATCTGCCAGTTTAATCTCTACAAATGAATCTCTGTATAATCCCTATCTGAGCTCTTTGCCCAGGAATGCAAGAAATGTCAGGCAGTTCCTTACCTATGGATGCCTATATCATGCCACAATGGAAGCACATTAAACTTGCTCTGTCCTATATTCAGTACAAAACCGATCACCACAGCTTGAAAGCTGAGTTCAAGGGCGTAGGAATGGGAAGGGGGTTACTAAACTCTGTCAGATTTGTTCAGATATACAGTGTGGGCCTATCCTCAGCTGCTGTCAGCTCCACTGAATTCAGCATGCTACAGAAGAAGTATCTGCTATAATTTCCCAGGTCTATCTGAATGACGCCGGGAAGGCCTTGCCATTTCGCCATCAGATTTGATACGGGTGATGCAAGTTGGAAGCCAGTGCTCTGCACAGGGGCAGGATGGTTGCTCATCTGTTGAATCTTCCCCCTTGTCACATGTAGTGCCAAGCACATTGTTGGCAGTTAACGAAAAACAAATCAAAACATCACTAAACGATGATCCATTGACCTATCCCTTCCCCGCGTTGAATTGCCAAGAAAACCTGCCAGTGCTTTTCTTAAGGGAAAACAAACCTCGTCTGGGGAATTACCGCTAAGTTGTCTCTCCACAGCCCAGGCACCAGCCTGTTCAGAGTGCTTCAGCACTGACCTCGGGGCAGCGGCTTTGGGGGTGAGCGGAGAGCTCAGGCTGCTCTCCATGCTCACTTGTTCCTTGCACACTCAGCTGAATCCAGGGCTGAAATAATTTATGGAGATAGGGCCAAACCCAGGAGTTTAAGAACTTTGCATGAAATGCCCAGTTCCCAGAAGAGTCGGGCCTCAGTGTGCTGCTCGCTCGGTTTGTGCTTGAGGTCGGCAAGGATGGAGACTGCCAATGAGTTGGGAAATTAGTGCCACTTTCCATTGTGTTTTTGTTGTTGTTGTTGTTGTTACCTGGATGTCTGTCCATTGAGAACTGGACTGACACAGACATATGCATTGCACACCGGTCACTGAACAGCCATAATGGGGCAGCAGTTTTTGAAAACAAAAATATATCAAGTGTCTAGTTTTAAACTTACAAAAGGCTTAGTTTTGCAAGACTCCCTCTTACTATGTGTATGCACAGGGCCTAGCACCGTGGGGCCACAATCTTAATTGAAGCTTTCTGCTGCCTCCACAATATAATTAATAATAATAATAATAATAATAATATCTTAACGTAGGGACAAATGAGTGACTTTACACTGAAAAACTGCCCCATGATGAGCCTAAACTTGTTCCATGGAGATCAATGGCAAAACTTCTGTTTGCTTCAATGGGATTAGCAATGGTCCCTGTGTGTTCACAAAAGTGGATAATAACGCGGGGGGAAATTAACCAATCACTCTGGGATAGGCAGCCACCCACCCTTAAAATCAAAATCATCCTTCGGAAGCTTTTCAGGCAGCAAAGCTAGAAACTTCACGAGATATTCCTTAAAGGGAGAGCACAAAGTAACCATGTACAGAAAAACGGGCCTGATCCTGAAGCCCTCTCTCAGGTGACCCAGTCCAACAGTTCACATGAGTAAAGGCTGCAAGATGGAGCCCAAAGGGTCTGATTCAGAAACCCTGCAAGTCTCACTAACACCAGTGGGCCTGTTCATGTAAGCAAAGGCTGCAGGACCAAGCTGAAAGGACCTTCTGTGTAATGTGATTGTTCAGCACCTTGCAGGATCAGACCCCTGCTATGACAGGGAACCTTATGTGACCCTGCCTGCTGTATCCTTCATATCCTTGGAATGCTCTTACTGGCATTTACAGAGAAGGCAAAGGAACAAAAGCTGGCCAAGCATGGGGAACTGTTGTTTAATGGCTCTCTGCTTTCACCAGGCAGGCCACTACAGTGGAAAACAATTTAATTAGTCAACTAAGGGGAAGACTAAGCACTGAAAAGCGCTATTTTGGGGCTCACAAAATGTGATAGGTCAGAACCTCCCGTTTCATTGCACTCCTGGGACTGGTTTTGAGAACAGCTGAGCACTCATTGCAGGCTCCAGTCCCGGCTCTCTCTCCTCTCTTTCACAGGACCTGTCTACTCAGCACATTTTGCAAGGTCTGGAGGTCATGTTATAACCCTCTTGGGTCTTTCTTGCTGGTGCAGACAGGACCAAATGATGTTCTGTTATAGCCCTGATCTCTACAGACACTAAACTACCTTAGCGTCTCTGTAGACACATCCCAACCTACCAAGGGTGCTGCGAGAATAAATTCATTGACTGTGGAACTCTTTGCCAGAGGATGTTGTGAAGGCCAAGACTATAGCAGGTTTCCAAAAAGAACAAGATAAGTTCATGGAGGATAGGTCCATCAATGGCTATTAGCCAGGATGGGCAGGGATTATGTCCCTAGTCTCTGTTTGTCAGAAGCTAGGAATGGGCGACAGGAGATGGATCACTTGATGATTCCCTATTCTGTTCATTCCCTCTGAGACACCTGGCATTGGCCACTGTTGGAAGACAGGATACTGGGCTAGATGGGTCTTTGGTCTGACCCTGTATGGCTGTTCTTATGTACTGGGAGGTGCTCAGATACTGTGGTGATGAACACCATAAAAACCCTACAACTAACTAACTAACATGAAAGGCTTCACTTTTGCAAGATACATAAGCATGTGGACCTATTCAAGGGCTTAGAGTTAACCTTGCTGAATGGGTCTAGCGTCACCAGACGGGCGGATAGAGGTGCTTCCTTCACACTAAGCTGCTTCACTCAACACCATGTTCGGAAGGTGACCATGTCGCAGCGACATTGTCCTGAGCATTATTTAACATTTCAGACGTTCTCTTCTGCGCTTGGAAAAAGTTTATATTTCCCATTCAGGCAGGATGATGAGGATTTTATATGCTTTTTTAAAAGAAAGCTTTTTCTTCACATTGGCTTAAAGGGTACCTTGAAGATGGATCATGTAGAATGATGAATGAGGGTGAGGATGTCAAAGAGGCCTAAGGGTTTAGACAGCCAACTCAAAAGTCAACGGGAGTTGATTTCCTTTACTCCCTTGTGTCTCTTTGAAAATTCCCAGCCCAACTCTTCCAGGTAAACAGCAAGAGTGAGGTGAGCTATTGTGTCATGAGGTGGGATTTAGGCTTCATTGTAGCTCACAACTTTGGCAAACAGTTTGCTACAGCTCTCTCTCCCACCCCCTGCCTGGTATGAATAAGCTGCCCCTATAAAAAGCCAGTGTGATTTTGGGGGGAGGTTTTTAAGAGTCAATTTTCAATCTCTCTCTCTCTCTCTCTCTCCTTTGCTGCTCTAACATTTAAAAAAAAAGTTTTGATAACCACTGACCAGCCTGGTGAGCACTATTAATGGCTCTTGCACTCTGCCCTTATCCCTCGCTCCACTAAATCAGGCTGTATTTGTATTGTAATAATAACTCATGGAGCGAATGCAGGCGACCCCAAATAAAGTTGAGTTTCAGAGCTTGTTTAACACACAGAAAAAGTAAAATATCTCTGGGAAAATGATACGAGTAAGATGAGGTGTAATCAATAGGACAATGGGCTTGATTTAGGAAGATATTGTTTATCCCCAGCATGAAACCCACGTGAACTCTTTTGATGAGAGGAATGCTGCATCCAGGAGCAGTTTTTGGTGCTGAAAAAACGCCGTGTTAGATCCAAAGTTTTAAACTGTCCAGTAATTCGCTTTATCACACCCATCCTGTGCAGCATGAATACCCTCTATTCTATCAAACTACCTCCTCGACTCCCCTCCCCTCCTAATCTCATTAGGAATTAAAACAAAAACTCTGGCGCACAAAAAGTTTAGTGACCTTTTGGGTGAAGTTAAGTGTGACAAAGGTCACGGAAAGCGCCCCCACTGCGTGGAATGCCCCAGCAGCAGGGCTCAGGGTATCTCCCGCAATCCGAGGCGGATGTATTAGCATTTCAGTGGCAGGCAAATGTCTTTAAAAAGACAAGCGGAGAGGCGCACCCCGAAAGCCCCCACTACACCCCGCAAAATCAGGGAAGAGGGCGAAACAGCACGGGGGGAGAGGGGGTCATTTTCTTCTCCTTTGAAGTCAAACTTCTTTGGGGGAAGGGGGGCAGCCACGCAGCGGAGATGGGCCAGGCAGGAGCTTGCATGCCCGGGGTGATTGATGAGCAGAGGGGAGGGGGGATGCGAGTACCTGTTTTCGCAGCGCCTCGAAGGCTGCGCTGATGGTATGCACGCGGGTCCTCTCCCGGGCGTTCGCCAGCAGCCGCCGGGTCTGCTGGATGGCTTTGATCTCCGAGGAGACGCCTGCCGGTTCCCCCAGCCGTTTCCTAGGCGATGCGGCGGACTCGGGCGTGCTGTTGTAAGCGCCATGTGCGACCGAGGCGTAGGCACTTTCCAAAGGGCGCTGCGGCGGCGGCGGACACAAGACGAGCCTGGACGGGAGGCTCTGCTCCCCCGGGCACGGCTGGAGCCCGTTCAAAGCGGCCGGGGGCAAGCCGGGCTCTTTGCGCGGGGGCTGGGAGGCGAGTCCTGCCGCCGGGAAAGCGCCTTTCCGCATGTCCAGCGCCCCGGCGGCGCTGCCCGCCTCTCTGCCGCCCAGGAGCGGCGGGGCCGCCGCCCCCTGCGAGCTGCCCGCCGCCCCGCTCTCGGGCACCAGGCTCGCGGGTCTCTCCAGCTGCCTCCCGCCGGCCGCGCGCTCGCTGACTTTCAGCGCCACTTTGAAACTTTTGTAGCCGTTCGCGGGCGGCTCTTTGTGCTTCCGCTTCAGCTTCTTGAGGCCGCCGAGCTCCTTCACGCACAGGCTTTGCCACGGCTCCTCGTCCAGGAGCTGCATGTTTCTCATGTCGGGCGCCTGTCAGTGAGTGCCGGGCCGGCCGCGCTCTCTCGCAGGTCGCTGGCTCCCCCCCTGCAGACATACACCCTCCCTCCCCCTCCTGCTCGGCTGCCGCAGCTGGGCTACCACGCGGCTCGGCACAGGCAGGGCGGCGGGGGGCTCTCCCCTGGAGCAGTCAGAATGTCAGCTGAAGTCCCTGCCGCATTGGCCGCCTGTCTGGGGAGTGCACGCTGCGCTCCATCTGTGTTTGTTTAGCCTCAGTTTACACAGAAGCCCCTGTGAGAGAGATCAGTCAGCGCGCCGCCTGTGACAAGCTGACTGCCTCGCACGGCCAAGAGACTTTCCAGCCTTGCAACCCCACAGATGAGCTTTAAAGAAACAGGAAGCATTCCCCGCTCCCCCCCCAACAGCTGTGCTGCCAATCTCCTTTGTTCACTCCCCCCCCCCACTTGCTGTTTTATAATAGTCTGTTTCTTCCCGACACACAGGCAGAGACAAACTCCCACCCCTACTAGAGACACAGACTTGCTAAGAGCAATTCACGGTGTGCTGCTTTATACATGGAACAGTTCCCCCATATCTTCCTAAATTAATGGTGAGATGCCTGGTTTCCTGCTGCAGTCCTTTTCTCCTGCCCTTCCCCACTGGTCAGGGGTCTATTTATTTATTTTTATTTGCTGGCTGAAGAGGGTCGTCTTGGTTCTAGGTCCCGCCTAACACTGCTAGCAGCCTCATTGATCACTCACATACAAGGGGAAGAAACTGATCTATAGGGTATGAGAAGAACTCTGGCTGGGGAGGTGCTTAACTTGACACATTCTTCTTAATTATGCCAGCAGGAGTTATTCGACCTGAGGGAGTGAGAGCCGAGGCAGCCCTATGATTTAGCAAAGATCTCTCTGAGACAGGCGAGGCATTTCTGTCTTCTTACTTCTCAGATCTCTCCTGCTGCTGCGGCTTTGGTACTGAGTTTAACTCTGCTTTTAAGCTGCTTCTACTGCAAAGACCATTTTTTGATTTTTACAAACAAAACCGAGGAAGCCTTGGCGAGTGAGTTACTTATTGAGGATGATTATTTATTAGCACCCCGGTGGTAGGCACTGTACAAACACATAGTAAGAGACAGTCCCTGAAGACCATACAGCCCAGACAAGCTAAAGGAAGGGTATTTCCCTCAAACAAAAAGAACAGGAGTACTTGTGGCACCTTAGAGACTAAGTATCAGGGGGTAGCCGTGTTAGTCTGTATCTACAAAAACAACAAGGAGTCTGGTGGCACCTTAAAGACTAACAGATTTATTTGGGCATAAGCTTTCGTGAGTAAAAACCTCACTTCATCGGATGCATATAGCTTATGCTCTAATAAATTTGTTAGTCTCTAAGGTGCCACAAGTACTCCTGTTCTTTTTGAGGATACAGACTAACACGGCTGCTACCCTGAAATCCCTCAAACAGAGGTGTGTGGTGAAGAGACTGGCCCAACGTCACATCAGTGACAAAGCTGGGAATAAAAACCAAGGGTAAAACCTCTTCAGAAACATTTAGATGACTTAGCATAATTACCATTTTCGCAAGTTGACACTTGGGAGCTTAAGTCGACATTGCAATTAAAAACATGCAGCTGCACCATGCCGGCTGACTGGGACTCCCCAGGCTCGAGCTAAGGGGCTGTTTAATTGTGGTGTGGCTATTTGGGCTCTGGCTGGCACTCAGGCTCTAGGACCCTGCGAGGGGGGAGGGTCCCAGCAGGAATGTCTGCATCGCAAACAGCCCCTTAGCCCAAGCCCCATGAGGCCAACGCAACTGGCACGGGCCAGCCACGGGCGTCTAATTACAATGTAGACATACCCATTGGAAGTCAATGGGACTTAGGCTCCTGTGCCACTTAGGTGTTTCTGAAAATTACCCCTGATGTCTTGATGCCCAGTCCAATGTCCTACCTACTAAACCACACTGTCTCCGCTATTAAAACACAAGACCCAGGAGTCAAAAGAACTAAGTTCTGTTCCCACCTTGGCCACTGTCTTGCTGGGAAAATTGCTTTAATTCTCAGTGCCTCAAATTCCCTATGCAGATAGGGAACTTCTCTATCTCATGCACAGTTGTAAAAGTTAAGGGATGCCTTTAAAGTGCTTTGAGAGCCTCAGATGGAACAATCAAAGTATTATTACTAATTAATAATAGGTAATGTAACATAATACTTGTAATTTTCTCCCTATTTTTGACTTCTGGTTCCTGATTCTTTTAAAGATGAAGGCTGATGTAGGGATTTTCTGTAGGCATGGCTTCCCCCAAATTCCCCAAGTGTCTGTGTGTTGGGGGTGTGTGTGTGTGACAGGTTCGGTCACAGAGATCCCCTGGGACTGTCACCTGGTGTGCTGAAATTACCTCTGAGCCCATTTTCCCTGCCAGCTTGGGATTTCCAGAACCCCGTCTTGTTGAACCAGACATGCTAGCCTGCTGCAACACAGACCCAGAGTCTGGTCCTTGCCCCCAAAGCTACAGACTTAACTGAAAACAGCTCAGCAGGTTACCTGTCTCCAGCACCCAGACACCCAGTTCTCAATGGGATCCAAACCCCAAATAAATCCATTTTACTCTGTATAAAGCTTATACAGGGTAAATTCATAAATTGTCCACCTTCTATAACACTGATAGAGAGATATGCACAGCTGTTTGCTTCCCCAGGTATTAATTACTTACTCTGGGTTTATTAATAAACAAAAGTGATTTTATTAAGTATAAAAAGTAGGATTTACGTCATTTCAAGTAATAACAGACAGAACAAAGTAAGTCACCAAGCAAAATAAAGCAAAAACACGCAAGTCTAAGCCTAATACATTAAGAAACTGATTGCACGTAATATCTCACCCTCAGAAATGTTCCAATAAGCTTCTTTCACAGACTAGACTCCTT